CTAATAATACTAATAGCTAATAAAGACACACAGTAATCATCACTGTAGAGGTGTTTTCTCTCTGTAGTCTGTTACCTCTTTAACAAACTGTGTTCTGTGTTCTGTTTATAAGCGCAGGATCGATTTCTACCATCAGAATGCGTTTGTCTTATTTATGAATTATTCGCGTCTGTACGTTTTGAAATTCTGATTGTGACGTCATTATTAATTAACCCAGAATATGATTATGGTTTCTCTTAAATACTGGAATTAATTCATTAGGCTCCATGTTTCAGGTTAAACTTAAATGATAAAACTCATCAAACCCGACACTCAGGATTAATCAGCCTCACGTGACTGAATGAAATGATGATAAATGATGTAAAAAGTGTTTAGTCTCTCCAGCTCTCTCTGACTTAAATTGTATCCATAATAAAGTTATTGAGGGAAACATCAGATCATGAAAACACAAATCTTTCTAATAAATGTAGAAAGTTGTTTGTGGTCCTTTTGTTGTCAGTCTACAATGAACATTTATTTAAACCAGACGGTGAATCAGAAACCTAATCAAATATAAACTAGTTTAATCTGTGATCTGTCTTCACTCTGGTATGAAACTCCAGTGATATTTAGAAGTCTGATCAGCTGCAGCATCCAATCACATAACTGATGAAAAATGAGGGGGCGTGTCGGCAGTCAAAAGACTTCCTGGAAGTCTGTTCTCATGCGTCCTCGCTCCCCGCTCCTCCGAGCTACATAAGAGCTTTGGGACGCCGTCAATATGGCGGCGCAGAACAAGTTCCGGTTCAAGCGAGGATCGAGGAGCGAGGAAATGACAAATAAGAGATTTGGAATGTACCCCGTAACTTCAGTAGCTCTGTAGGTCTGATAACGCCGCTGGACACGCCGCTCACTAATCGCTCCAATAACAGCTGCTTCCTCCTCAGAAATGCAGACTTTAACTGAACAACAGCTGCTAGTAAAGACAACAAGGTCAGTAACACTTGTAATCAGTTGTCCATGTTGAATTAATCGATAGTAGTAGTCGATCGATAATCAAGACTATTGTTGTTTGTGATCTATCGGGAAACGGTCACGTGATAGGAGTGTGACGAATCAGGGAAGGACACGCCGTGACTGCTAAGAACCAATCAAGTACCGAACATGGGTGTCTATGTCATCGTTTCTAAACTTATGAGTTTATGAGCCTCCACATGAAGAGGCAACTCCGGAGTTTTCAAGCTCCAGAGTTTTCGGTGCTTTGAAAACTCCGGCGTAGTGTGGCCGAAAAAAAAAAAGAAGAAAAGTCACGGAGGAAAATAGAGTTTAATTCTTCATGGACGTATTCATCTGCTTTCACTGCCAATGATGCTGGCTTACCTGTATGCTTGAAATGTGGCGAGAAATTAGCAACCACACTTCCAGAACAAGCAGGCAGCATTTGCTGAAAAGTGTCACGCTGGAGATGAGCGAAAAAGAGCGATTTCTCAACTGCTGCAGCAAACTCTCCTCTTCATAAAAGTTTTATATTGTTCTAACAGGTAAAATAGCAATAAAATGTCAATAGATGTCTTTATTCTTGTTCTATATTTTCATAAACACAACAAACTATAGTTTTTGTATATATAATCTAACTATCTATAAAAGTTTATAAGCTGTGATATCAAATAGCTTTTGCAGGCTGCAGACAAATTTGATTTGGTGGAAAATAGAGCAAAATGTCTCTTTGGATAGTAAAAGTTGCCGACCCCTGGTCTAGGGAGAAGGGTATGTGAGTCCAGCGGTTTAAGGGATCTTCGGTGGATTTACGGATGGGGGTAAAGTTAAGGTGGAACAGCTCTGGAAGATTGGAGGAAATGTCAATGCCCAGATATTGAATGTTACCAGTTGGGATGTTGAAAGGTAATTTTGGTCTCGTAGCCTTCCTCCATTAGTTTAAACACTGCAGCTAGTGATGCTGATGTTTTTTGAGGATTGTCTACCTTTGATGAGACCATTTTGGTCAGAGTGAATTAATACATGGATGACTTTCTCCAATCTGATACAGTACTTCACTCATCATTTTGATGCCTCGGTTGACGAGTGGTATGAGGCGGTGGCTTGAGCAGGGAGTGGGATCCTTGTTAGCTTTGAGAACAGCTGAGGTGAGTGCAATTCATATCTGGAGGGATGTTGGAGGATTTGTAAATTTCATTATCTTAATGAATTGTGGCGATATTGTGGTCCCAAAGAGCTTGTAAAGTTCAGAGGGGAAACCATCTGATCCAAGTGCTTTCTCACTGTCATTTTGCATAATGGATCTGTCCAAGGTGTTTGAGATTCTGGTAACTTGGAAAGACCTATATTATCATAGAATGTGGTTATTGTTGTTAGATTACACATGCAAATGTAGAAGTTGCTAAAGGAAGTTTGAAATATTGTTTATATATAAATTAGGGTGTAAATAGTATTCGCTTCTGAGTATTCAATAGCTTGTGTAATAGTTAATAGAGTTAATAGAGCTGAATTGTTAGATATTTTTCTAATTTGTTACTGTGTTTAAAGTAGTTACACTGTAAAACAGCACAGCCCTGTTTAGTTATGTCCACTTACTTCTTCTCTTTAACTCAAAGAGCTCTGACACATTTTACATTTTTAACTCTACTGTTCAAGTTCTTGAATGTTAAACTTACAGTAATTCATTGTGTTGACTTTTTGAGATTTGTAAGTTTTGATTGAACTTGTTTTTTGAAGTTATCAGTTAAAAAAAACAATGGAGACAAAAGGCGGGAGGGGGGGATGAAATAACATATTTGCTGCAATGTTTGAGTTTTAAGGAAACTGTCTTTTTTAAACCATGGCCAGGTTGAAGTTTAGACATAATCTACTGGTTAAACACTGCAGACAATTCATATAGTGAAATTCCAATGAAAATATAGGCATTTTATGGTAAACAAGAAGGACTATTGCCACCTGCGGAGGGAGACTATGTACCTGACAACTGCCAATGAATTGAGGCGGAGGAACATAACGTTACTTTCTGCCTGCAACAAGAAGAGCGGACAGAACAGAGCGCAGTGAGGATTTTTTTCGCTGGGCTTCAGCACACAGAGGTGAGTTTAAATTATGACTTTGAGTATTTTTCTTAATTAATATCATGTGTAACGTTAGTAATGTAACACAGTTATGTAGGTCGGGTTTTTTAAAGGCTAAATGTGTGGCCTTGATGTTTAGCTGGCTTAACAGTTTCCCCGGTCTGTTTTGCCCGCGAACTTTTTAAAAGACAAATGGTGGACCTATTTCGTCTGTTGTGCTTTTAATAAAACGTATTTAATGTAGAAGTATAAACTATTGGTTAATTCTTAATGTGACCGCAATATTATTTTTTATTCAACATTAGTCAGCAAGTTTGCTAGCCTCCACTAACGTTACTCTGTCTTAAAGTAGCTCATGCCAGCTGGATTCACATTGAATGGCTGAGTCACTGCCTATGCTTTGCTCCTCTTTATATTTTAATGCCAGTAACGTTACTTATATTAATGCGGAGCATGCCGCTTATTAGGAACGCAACTGCATTCAGAGCAAAGACTGTATAGCGGACATTTTGACCCCCCTCCCCTCTCCTCTCTCCCTGCTGTGTGTGCGCGCGTGCATGTTTGTACGAGAGTAGGCTGAACTCTACACACAGCGGACAGCAGAGTAGAAACGGCACAGAGATGAAGAGACGGACTTTTAGTGATAGTTTACTCCTGTCTTAGAGTAAAAACATTCATTTAAAATGACAACAAATCCTCCAGTAGAGACGATATGAATTATTCAGACACGTGTCTTTGACCGCTCCCTCTGCAGTCAACTCGCTTCATCACTGGTATGTTTTACACAGACAAACGGAGCTGGCAAATGGTTGAATTAACTACGTCGAACGTCAATTGTAGGTTAAAAGCAAATAGTTGAGCCTTGTTCAGTGAAGGGTCTCCAAACAGTTGACATTTTGTTACAACCAGCCCCTCCTATTACCAGCAGTGTGTGTCTCCACATCAGCAGACAGGATCAGTGAGGCCATAGTGCTGTTAGCCAGTTTAATGTTAACTGTTGAATAGTACAACTGTATGTAGTTTGTTTTTCTAATGTTTAGACTTGACATACTTAATGAGATATATTATGCAGGTTAGGGCCTGGCACTAAATATTCTACAAACAAGTTGATACTAACAATTATACAATAAATTATATATGTATTATTCTAGTAATCTTTGACAGGTTGGAGGGTTTCAGAGACTTACTTTACTCATTCCTGAGACTTGCGCTGTTGAATTGGATTATATTGAGAGGCGGTTCTCGTACTCTCTACAAGTAAATGTAATACATTTCAACATCACAATCTATTGTCTCACTTATAACAAAACAAATCTAAAACTGAATATTTTAACCATCATCAAGTTTGAAACTCTTGCAGGGCTATCATTATACTGCACACAATTTAGCTAACTCAATAAACTGAATAAGTGTATTTGAAAATTAGATGTATCAATCGGTTTATCCTTTTTTTCTAATCTAGAGGTTGTTTGCTTCAAAATCACTTGATCCCTGTTTTTGTTTTAAGTATTTTGAAATTGTAAAGATTGATAATTTAATCATAAAGGAAATAAATGTTATATTTGTGTTGAATACATATATTTGCTTTTTTCACTAAACATGCAATTCATTTAATTTTTTTCTGTTTCCAGATATCATCAAGAATGTCCAGTTCATTCTCCTCCAATGGACAAGGAAAAATAATCCAGCATTATAAACAGCATCATGGACATCATCGTAGGTGTTTAGGCCTTGTCTGTATTTATGATGAATGTTTGAAGACATTTCAAACCCAAGCTGAACTTAAAAGACATTTTAAAGAACATCTGAAAGAAGGTCATACAATTGTGAATAGTTCAGTAGGATTGTCACTAAAGACCTGCTGGAGTCATTCCTGGATGGACTAGATGCCTTGGTGCCAAGTCTTCTAGAGCTGTACAAAGCAGGTGTTTCATCGAGCAGGAGATTGCGTCTGAGCGGTGTGCTGCAGTGTCTGCAAAAGGAGGTATGTACTGTGTTGAAAAAAAGTTTCTTGTTATTGTGTATTAAAATTAGGATTATAGCTTTGGTATCACATTCATCTACTCTTGCCTGTTCTTGTAGGACACAAACCAAAACAGAAGAACAGCCGCCCTGCTTGGTCTTCCATGCTATCTTTCAGAGGATTCCACCGACATAATCCGGATGTGTGACGTAAGAAACTGTATTTACACCTTTACTACACTCAATTTTTGTAATGTGACAATGGTAACATTTTTCATGTTCATTAGAGTTATTACCATACCCTTCAGCGCTCTCCCTGTCTGTATTACTATTGGTTGAGCTGGTAATGGTAGCTTTACTGCAGCAGAGCTGGTGATATTATAAGTCTTCAAATTATTGGAAAAAATAAATAAATTATAGTCTATTAATTAGAGTGGCAGTTATGTTTTCAATTTGGAGATGTCGGTTAAGATTTGAATGTCTTTATACATCTTCAGGCTCATGGAGAAAACCTTGATGTGATCATGAAAGGAATGCAGGTTGGACTGTTGATTGGACACGAAGGCACTCTGCAAGATGCATTTCCTTTGGAAGTCTTCAATGTGGCTGTGGTAGCAGAGGAGAAGATCATCCTACATAAGCTCGGAGACATCCCCACAGGCTTTGCCATGTTAATGGCAACAATCTACTGCCTTAACCTGGAGTACCCCCGGAATATGAAGTTCACCTGTGAGTTCCTTCAGAGGGTCATTATGAACATTAAACCGGACGAATGCTCAGCAAGAGTCCATGGGCTCAGAAACAAACTGCTCAGATATCGCAAGTAAACAAATCTGAAGTCACATCTGAAGTCCCTGTTTGGAGGAGGCTGTTATTCTGGACTCTAACTTTGTTGTTCATACAAACACTGTTCTTGGTTTAACAGGAGTTGCATATTGGGTATAGACAAAGCAAGTCAAGTTTTGTTGAAAAATGTAAAAGTGAAAAACCTTACAGACTGCTCTGAACTGTAGGTTGGTTGTTTAAACATAAAAAAAAACTTTGCGATGCACTAACTTTTATAACGAAAACACAAAACAAAACTTAAGAATTGTGTTTTATAAAGTTCCCAGTATCCCACATTTTACCTCTGCATGTCTTCTCTCATTCCCCCTTTCTCAAAGTATGCGATTAAGTCATCCCCTTTTTCAGTGTTTACAATGTTCTTGTTCATAATTGAGATTTTATGAAACTATATTCATTATCTCACATTTTGCCTCGTAGTAACTTACCTCAACACTTCTAGTTGTCAACATAAGTTATATGTTAATATTATGTGTTGAACATGACTGTATTGATGTTGTGGCCTGTTTAAGGTACTAGTATGCAACATTTTTGTGGATGATTTTATGAACCTCTTTTAATTATCTCACAGTTGTATAGTGACAAATGTGAGGTAGTTAAAAGAGGTCCATAAAATGTCCACAACCCCACCATCTGTCTGTCTGTCCACAACCCCACCTTCTCTCAGATTGCCTCCACTTGTATGTGGTAACATTGTTTTAAACAGCTATTTAAGTGTCGGCATGTTTGAGATGTACTTAAACACAATGTTCAAGCTTGTGTATCTTTTCATCAAATAAATGCTATATTTTTAAATCAGAAGTAAGAATTATGGGTGATTCAATTTTTTGATAAAGCAAACTTGCAGTTATCAGTCAAGTTAACTTTTATATGTAAGTTGAAACCAATTTGGAATTTAAATCCTCTTAACTTGAAATGGCAAGTTGTATACACATGGTTAAGTTATTTTAACTTGAAACTGAGCTACAATAATGCAGAAATGCGTGTTGGTTTCACTAGGTAAGGAAAGTTTTCTTGACCTGATAATGTAAAACAATTCTTTGTTTTAACTCGCTGTATCAAGTTCAAACAAGTGAAGAAAAGTTCAATCAACTCTGACAACTTGAACAGTAATGTTGAGACAACATTGCAGTTAAATCAACTTGATGAACTTTAATTTCTGAGTTGAATCAAAAGCATTCTTCAAGTTAAGTTAACTCACATTTTCAAGGCAGCAGGTGAACTTTCATTTGCAAGTTTAACTGACTTGAAATGTCTTACAGTGTACTTTTTAGCTTTTATATGACACACTGGGTCTTCTTATTTATGATGTTATTAAGATTTGTTTCGATTAGTTCTTTATTTGTACATCCTCAGATTGATGTGGAGCTACACCACTCAGTTTGTCCAGTTGTTGCTCTTCCTGTTCTTTGTTGGAGTATGAGATCATCCTCTCATCCCTGCCTTGGCTCTTTCAAAAACTATAGACTCGGTAAGGTTGTTGGAGAGTCACTTAGTTCAAAGAAAGATATCCACTCTCTATTCAAGTAAGAATCTATACGCAATGATGTCTTGAGACTCCATCTTGTGCATGCTTTAAGGGTGGTTTCATTAATAAAGGTAAACTTTACTGGAACGAATACTCTAAATAATAATGTGATGCATTTCTACGTGTTAGTCTGATATGAGCAAGTTGATTGTGAGGAAGTAATCTATCCGGGAGAAAGAGTTCTGATAGGGTGAGTAGTAGGTATAGTTGAGTTTTTTTACTCACCAAACATCACCAAGACCAATGTCAGTCATACAGTGTTCAACGGTTTCAGATGGTTACCACAGTCTGTGGAATGTAGTGATGTTTGAACGGTACAGTTTTCTATAATTAGTATTTTTTTTTTCTTTAGTTGTGAAAAGAAATGATGAGAACATGCAGCGATGTCATCATTTGGACTGTATACTATAGCTATTTAACACTTAACTGCCCCAATGGAACCACTGATTGTTATGTATCCTCCTTCAGGATCTGCTTTGATGAACTTATTGTTATGGTATTTATTTGTCACTCAGCACTGCAACGCTTCTTTTCTTTGAATTTCAAAATATGCAAGATATATTAATTACATTAGTATTTATTTAAGGAACACAGACAGAACATGGAAGACTGATCATAATAACACTATTTTGGGCGCAACTAAATTGGCGTTAACTGGCGTCACCACGGTTTTGTAAAAATATGATTTTGTTCTCGTAAATTCAGTTTACTAGAAAAAACAAGTGGTTCTTGGAATATTCCCTCCCTCCCATGATTGTATAACTGTTTCTGATATACCTATACCAGACACAGTCATAGTCTTCTCACCACTATGCACCCCCCACCCCACATCTGTCTCAGATTTCTTCATACAGTATATAACTATACTTGAGGGAAGCATATTTAGGACCTCTGAAGACAGGCAGCAAAGGACTTGACTCATCAAACAGTGTCAGCGCTCTCGGTAAATGTCAGCATCCCAAGTGTCTCCGTCAGCAGTGAAGGAGAGACGGGACGAGCGGAAGGGGGGAGGGCTGAAAGATGTGTGTGTTGTCTGTCTGTGTATATCTCTACATGAACAAATACATGAAGTGTCTGCACATGCACGTGTGATATGTCTCATATGGGGTAACGTGACTGCATGTGGCCATGGTAAACTATAGGGGCAGTGAGCGAGGTGACGCATTACACCCCTGTATCTCATCGCAGATCCCTTATAATATTCCCTCACACCCCGTCCATCGCACTCACATACACATGTGCAGGAGAACTCACAGTGTGCCGTACGTTCCTTTACTTTACATTAGCAACATACGCACCAAATGGCCGCGATTGCAAGGCGCATTAATGTGCCGCTCAATAGGCATCAGAACGATGCCTATTCTCACTGATCTTTCTCAGTGAGAAAGAGCAGCGATGCGTTCCTGCGGGAAGCGTTTTTTTATGTCATTTAAAGCGCGGCATTAGAGCACCATCATCTAAAAGCTCATCCGCAGGTTGTGTAATGCGGGGGAAGGAAGCTTCAAAGGTGGGAAGTTTTGATGCTACAGTTTGACATACACTAGGAACATTACAGCAAGTGATATATAATATAATATAAGCCGCGCAGCACATTCTCTCCCGCAGAAGCCTGCACATTAAAGTATCACAGCCGTGGTGTAGGAGGGGAAAGAATTACCGGAGCGCCATTAAAGCGTAAAGAAGACATAAAGTTAACATGCTTTACTGGATGTTACACTATGCAGTATGAAATCTCTTCTTTGTTTAAAAAGTATAAATACGTCAACCAAAGTAATGCATTACGGTCGATACAGTCTGGGTGTGCACGGACAATTCTTTATTGTAACTTGTCTCGGTCATGATGAAAGTTCATGAGACAGCTGACTGGAGACAAAAGCGCCGCCACATTTGTCTTCCAACTGAACCAGCTGTAATCCCTCTAGGTAAAGAGGATTATTCTGGCCTCTAACCTAATTATTCAATTCTACAGTCCCATGAATGTAAATAAAACGCGGCCTCATCACTAACAGCGTATATGTATATGTGATGCGCAGTAGATGCACTTAGCAAGTTGAATAATTGCCAACTGCTGCATTACTCTGCTTGTAAATTAGAATAAAGAAATCAATATACACTGTGTATGACGCTGGGTAGAATGAGGAAATGTGCTTTTTAAGACGAGTCGCATGTCCAAGGCCTGTTTGTTATGATGTGATTAAATACATCACTGTATGGTGATATATTATGCAAACCAGGAGAGTGTTGTTGTTTGATTGTTCAATTAGAAAGGGTTGTCCTTTAAATCCAAAATTGCCTTTTGGTGCTTTTGTAATACAACATCCCCATAAAGTCATTAAACAGCTGTTCTGTGAAGTCGACCCAGGTCACATCTGTTAATGTAAACCTTAATGATGCAGAGGGGGCAGAGTCCTTTCATTCTCTGTTTGTTGGATAAATAGGCTTTTGAGGTGATACCAACCACTTAAAGTTGTTCCTCTCACGCTGTTGGGTTTTTATTCTAAGTTCCACTTCCAGCTTTAAAACAGATAAATAAATAAAAATGTATATCTTGCCGTGCACTTGGTTAGGTTAAACGCTGCTGTATGTAATCATGGATTACCACGGGAATGTCCCTTTTATATCCAGCCATCCAAGTGCCACTTTATATTTTGTCTGCAATATAATTTGTCTCTAACTTAAAACTCTTCTTAGAGCAGGAGCACATCCAACCCGCAGACAGCCTCTCACAGCCATGTTCCGATGAGTGAAGCTCAACCGAGATGGGTCACCTCGAGGCCCTCTCGTTGGCAAAGCGGTGCATTCATCCCCGGCAGCCTTTGCAGCTCGTCCACTCCGACGCTCAGTGCTCTCTGGAGCCGACCCCCCAGAACTCAGACCGTGCTCGCCACAGAACCGGGCCTGGTGGCATCCTTGTAGCTCTGGATCCGGGGGTGCTGCCATGGAGGGTTGCATTTGCTGGAGATTATTTGGAGAAAAGACCAAGGCGATTTATGTGCCATGTGGTATGCTGGCAGACATTGCTGCCACTCTGACCCAAGGCTCCACAGATTTGTTTTCCAACTAAAAGCATAACTCAAACGCCTTTATTGTTCTGTAACTTGTAAATTAAGTGGATTGTTTGTGCTAGATCTAACACGTACTGGGCCAAATGGTCGAAGTTGTGAAATTAGATTTTGGATCCAATATAGTGATTTATATAAATGTTGCATTTTGGCCCGTTGACATAACGCAATGTTGCCAATGTGAGCTATTGTTTGTAATTTATTTAATCATCTTTTCATAATGACCATTTGATTCCACACTGCCACCGTGTTAATACGCTGTTATGTAAAATCTGAATCCCTCATTGTTTTGGTTAAGTCGTCCTCTTGATTGATTCAAAAGATTACCCATGATGCCTAAATGAACCTTTGAAGAATAGTATGGTGCATTTTCAAATCGTTAAAGATCAGTGTTCTATTCTGATACATTATATTTAAGTGAGCACTAATGTTGAGTTTAATCACGTGGCCTGTAATAAATAGAGCCAAACACTAAGCAGGGGAGGCTGTGCATCGTGGGCGATTGGTCATGTAGGCACAGTGGCTAAGAGGTAATCTAAAGGGATATACAGTATATTTATATTTTTTTATCTGTCTTCCTTTGACCCCCCCGCCTTCTTTGCTATCTTGCTGTTTCAAATGTAAATGAGATTTGTTATAGTGGCGGCCGCCACTGCCACTGTTCCCGCTGCCTTTTATACCCGCTTCCAGAGAAAGGAGGCAGCCGCATTTTTTTCATCGACTAACACATTCTCCATCTCCAACCCTGCTATTATACGCACATTAGAGAACATCCCATAATGAAACCTGTCAGGCAAATTGACACAGGAAAGAGAATATGAAAAACATTACATGATTACAGGGCAAAAACATAGTTAGGAAAAAAATATTGTCATTACATTAGAATATTTATATATATACGTATGTGTGTATATATATGTATATATGTGTATTAGTGATAGCTATTTTATAATTTAATAATTTGTCATAAATACACTATATGTATTCTAATTATTTTTCCCATTATCTTATTTTCTCATTGCACAGCTACTGTCTTCCTCAGTTGCTCTGCTTCCAGCGCAGCTTGTTTTAAATTAGAGCTTTTATCCAATCAGATTTCTCCTCTATGCTGTCTCTCAGTAAAAAAATCTGCCCGGAGGCCTTCAGAATTTCAAGTGAATCCCTTTGCAGTTTAAGTAAATGGGGACGATATTGTTGATTGTCATAGTCTTCAACCAATCAGATCTTTAGTTTGACATGTTGGGCGTGTTCTTTGACGTGCCAGAGCCTGCTAGCTGGCCTACAAGTGCGTCAGCATTAACGTGCGGCTTGATTGGTCAGTGGGCTAGCGTGACATGTTGTGAAACTAGCTAGCAGAACTTTGTAGTAGTAAGAGTTAAAGTTTAAAGATATGTAAGAAGTGTTTACGTGACATTACATTTTTAGCGTTTTGACATGTTTGGCGGTGACAATCCCAATATCTGCTGCCTCTGTCGAGCGGACATTTTCAGCCTCAAACTTATTAAAACGTATTCAAGAAATACAACTGCGGAGGCTCGACTGTCTTCACTGGCGTCCATGAATGGAGAAGGACTTCTTACTGGAAATGAACCGATGTTGTGTACAACCGCGGTATTGAACTCTTTGTAATCAAAGAAAGGAGGATGGACTTTGTCTTTAAGTGAACAGCAGCTTTGGTAAGTGAAGTGCATTTCTGTTTTTACATCTGCAGTAGCGTTACTGCTGTGTTCATTTGTCTATTGTGTCGTTTTTATGATATGGTTAATATTGTTCCCTCTGATGTGAATAATATTTGAATGGTGCTCTTGAGTGTGTGGTGGAATGCGTGTTTTAGCACTGTAGTTTTGCTGGATTGTGCAGAGGCCTGTTGAATCGTGTTATTTGGGTTTTATGTTATTCTACCTGCTTTGTTGTCATATAAATATATGTGACTGGTTCTTGTGAGTTTGTTCTTGTCATTGTGTTAATTACATTGATGTTGACTATATGCATTGTCCGTTAATAACGCAGCATCCTATTATGCGCGTATTCATGTCTTTGCAGTCTGCAGTTAGTGTACATAGCATATAATATATATATATAGTGCATGTATATGTGTATATATATATATATGTATACGTATATGTATATTTGTATATACGTATGTATATGTATATATATGTACTGTTCAAATATATTACACGCCGCCCATCTCAAACATTGTGCCTCTCCTCTGATACACACACATAGTTTCCTCAACACAACATTATCACAGCGTGTCTGTAGTGTTTTGGTTGCAGCTCCCGATGGGACTTCATAAAAAAAGCTCCGGAAATAAAACATTTGAGCCTCATGCAGGCACCAAAAAAGAAAAAAGAAACATTGTATCCACAGATGAGTTATATCGTGTCATCCTCAGCTTGCCTACTCCACAATCCTCACTCTCTTAATCTTTCCCCCCCTTCTTCTCCGCAGACAGGTTACATAAGGTATGGTTTTCATTCCCACCCTCCCCTCTGTGTTCATAGGCCCCTCCATCTCATCTAAGAATCTCTAATCATATTTTCCCCAAAGTTGCATTGTTCATTCCTGACAGATGAAGTTTTACACAAGACGAGAGGAAGGTGACATTTGGGGAAAGAAACGGTGGCCTAGATTCTTTTTTTTTATGAAAGACTGAACCAATGAAAAGGGCATGATGAAATTTCAAGCCAAGACATTAAAAGCTTAGCACCTTAATCACAAAAAGTCTTCTTTGTTGTGATGCACATTTCGCATCAAGGCAATTGTGAGATAGATGATAGATTTCCCTCACCTTCCTGGCCGTTCATGTTGTATCTTGCAGGTATATATACAAGTGGGGAATCAGTGTTACCTCACCATAAAAAAATGGCAGTTGCTAAGACGAAAAACATATATAGTCAACTACGAGCATATTTAAGAATTTCACATTAGGTGCACATTCACCGGAAATGTACTTTATTGCATAATAACACAAAGGACAAAATTATGTGAAGTACTGGATAGAGAGAGAAAACAACAATGGTAGAGAAGTGCGACAGTGGTTGCTCGTCTTCTAAGGTGTCGTATTTGAACATAAAACACCAGGACCAAGAGCTTCTACCAGCTTTTAACCGTGACGTTTTTATTCCCGATTTAATATGTAGAATGATTTCATTGGAGATCCTCCCGAGTCCTTTTATGTGTTTTCCTATCCCACATCAGGGTAGTTGTTAGGCTTTTATAGCTCAATGTAGTGACCTGGATTGACCCTCTGTTAAAATAGCAATACAGGCAGGAAGATGGGCAGCAATCTGTCTTGGAGAGCTGAGAGTACTAGTGAAATCATCTGGTATAGATTTGTTTGGAATAAATACCTGCAAACTACAATCAAAACTGTATGCATGCCTTTGTACACAGTCTCACAATTTCTGCACACTTGGTCCTTCTTGTCCATTGTTCAGTGGCCTGTCTCATTAGCAAACAGTGCTTATCTCTTCTTATTTGTCTCTTTGTTGCTGTCAAAGAAAATGAATTAAATCCTTCCAAAAAACAACCAAAGCAATACAAATAAAATGTTCTAGTGTCTGTTAGATATTGACACTCACTGTGTAGTTTTTTTCGAAATGTTAATCTTGAATTACAGCTTCAGGAATAGATAATAATTCATTGGCATTATGAAAAGCCAATTTCACTCTGGGCATAGGAAAGTGTACAGTTCGTCCTGTGGGAAAGTCAAATCAAATGAAATGGTGAAAATCAAACTCAAACACAATTTCTCACAAAGCAAAGCAGTGTCGGAAGTTCTTAAGACTACTTCAGTCAGGAACACTCTCGTCATAAATGTTAACCATTTATTACAACAAATGGAAATACAGTTAAACTCGGCGCTGATGGCTCCGCTCCTTTAATGCTCCCCGGATTAGCCAGCAGCTACCGAGCCAAAACGGGCAGCACCGACATCAAAGAACCTTTTTCAAATACATTTCAACCATTTACCGTGAAAGATGAACTCTGAACTAAAGAAGGGCGGAGGCTGGGGAGGAGGAGGCAAAGCTTTACAGCGTAGGTGTAGAATGAATCAGTGAGGAGGGAGCCATATTTAAATAAACCTCTTTGAAGTGAGAGTGGGCTGTGATTGGTGTGTGGCCGATTGGAAGCTATGATTCAATTGGCTGGCTGTCAGCTGGTTACATCTGGGGGCGTATGACTTCCGTGTCCTGCATGAACTAATGCGATGCTTCATGAGTCCACCGTCACACTAGGCCCTGTGAGGCTATTATCCTCACTGTAAGGAAAAACCAAACTGTTAGATAGATAAACCAAAGTCGTGGACAAAGTTACATTTTGACATGATGGTGGCCGGGTAGACACAGAAGTTCACAAAGAAGGTGAACGTATGCAACGAATCGCATGGTAATTCATCCAAAACAGATGTCGAAACATTTCACTTTGAAACACAAATTACAACCTCATGGTGGCTCTGGAGTCAAAATCAGGGGATCGCAAAAGTCATTGGGATTCATCCTCTGGGGAACATGAACGCCCCGCTCTGTGCTCCAATGGCTGTTGAGCAAGCTTGGAACTGATTAACTGATCCTGACGGAACTTTGGTCAACTTCCCCCCTTCCTGTTATACTTCCATATGCTACATCTGTTCAAAAGTGACATTACTAGTACTACCTAATTATGTAGGTTAAATTACATTGGTGTCACGATCTTTACACCCACATTACATTACATATGATGGTAATGTTAGCAAAACCTTAGCTAACTAACTAGTTAGTGTAAGCTATGGCTACATCAAGTGGAGTAAGCCTAATTTCAGTCCCCCAACTTCTGCCAAGTTTAATTCCTCCTTATTTTAGTGGTAACGGTAAAGAGATTTGGCAAAGGACAGATTGGTTGACGTATTTTTAAGAAAACATTAATTATCGTTTACCAAAAAAGATCAAGGTTAACATTCAGTAGTTTTAATCATCCCTGTAAATTCACTTTTTGTCTTCTACCACCCCAACAGGAAAAGTCACCTGAGTTGAAGTTATCATTGTGAATATGTCCTTCCATTGGATACTGTAGTCCTAATGTCCTTCCATTGCATACTGTAGTCCTAATGTCCTTCCATTGGATACTGTAGTCCTAATGTCCTTCCATTGCATACTGTAGTCCTAATGTCCTTCCATTGGATACTGTAGTCCTAATGTCCTTCCATTGGATACTGTAGTCCTAATGTCCTTCCACTGGATGCTGTAGTCCTAATGCCCTTCCATTGGATACTGTAGTGCTAATGTCCTTCCATTGCATACTGTAGTCCTAATGACCTTCCATTGGATACTGTAGTCCTAATGTCCTTCCATTGCATACTGTAGTCCCAATACACACTGTCGCCAAGTTTCTTTTTGACAAGCTTGTCCAACCTAGCAACAGTAACTAAAGCGGGCGGGACATGGGCACACTCAATTGTTGAGACAGATCACAAAAAACAAAAATGTCAACATTATGATACCGTATAGAGGCAAAATCAGGGGGTCACCAAGGTCATAAAAGTCACCCTGTGGGGAACAGGAATGCCCGAACCAAAGACAATCCATCAAATGCTTGTTGATATATTTCAGTCTGGACCAAAGAGTTACAGCAAGTTCAAACCATATCTCTTTCATCCAGAAGGAAATCGCTTTTACTGATTAATTGTTGAGCAGCCTCAGGGAAACGGAGCATACTGTTTCATTCAAAGACCATAGTTTAGTAACTACTTGACATATTGCTATGTAGCCTGCGGACAAGCCTGGAGACATGAGACTTCACTTAATATTATAGTATATGTAAATGTATATTTATATTTTACCCTCACTAAATGCCCAGGCGTTTTGCTTTAGAAATATTGATTAGTT